GTTGTAAGGATCGTAATAGTTGGTAAAAAAAAGAGTTGGTTAAAAAACATCATAAGCACTGGAGCATAAAAGAAAATATCTTTGCGAAATTTAATATTCGTACTGCAAAAAATAAATAAATAGTGTGTCAAAAGGACGCTTTTTCCATTGACGCTGCTATAACTGTATATTCCCTCAGTATTTTTTCTTGTATTAAAAAGCTATTTTAATAAAACGCAAACATTAAACTAGATTTATTGATTCCCAAGAATTGGTAACAAAAATATTAAATACTATTCTTGTAAATAAAGACTAATAAATAAATATTGTTATGTGTCACGCTTAGGCGATCATGTATCTATCGATACATGACTGACGATGTAGATTTTTTCCTCGCAGTAAGTTGCCATTTCTTTATGTGGTAGACCAGTTGCCATCCAAGGCTATAGAACCCTGTCTGTCCTGCTATTAATTCATACCTTTCCTAAGGGTATTAGCACGTAAGTGAATGTAAAGGATTCGACTGAAATTTGAACACGGCTCTCCGATTCCTCAATCTGAGCAGCTATCCATTACTCCACTGTGCCCTACTATTTAGCCTATAATCACGGAAAATGGACCCATGCATTTTCCAAGGCTTTAGCACGAATTGAACGAAACAGTATCTACCGGAAGTTGGTTACTTTGATTTTTTTTATGTCGCTGACCTTTACATTGCATTATTTTGTAATGTTTTCTTGAATGTTAATCTTTGAAGTTGTAAGGATCGTAATAGTTGGTAAAAAAAAGAGTTGGTTAAAAACATCATAAGCACTGGAGCATAAAGAAAAATATCTTTGCGAAATTTAATATTCGTACTCGCAAAAAATAAATAAATAGTGTGTCAAAAGGACGCTTTTTCCATTGACGCTGCTATAACTGTATATTCCCTCAGTATTTTTTCTTGTATTAAAAAGCTATTTTAATAAAACGCAAACATTAAACTAGATTTATTGATTCCCAAGAATTGGTAACAAAAATATTAAATACTATTCTTGTAAATAAAGACTAATAAATAAATATTGTTTAGTGCCGGACTGAATTAAAAGCGAACCATAAACCTAACCTGACTGCTAAATAGGTTGCAATTGTTACTGTTGTCGTCAATCCTCGAGAAAAAATAGTATAGATCCAGATGATACAAAACCATTTTATTGAATTTATATGGCGAGGGCAAATGAAAGAAATGCCAAGAAAATGCATTTTTCTTTCTAAATTTATAATTACATTTCCTCGTAGTTTCGTGTTTAAAAACATTTTCTTATTCTTTTGTTCAAACACATTTTTGTAAATTTATGAATAAAAAATGTTTTCATTGTTATTTTTTTTATAATGTGGTAAATGTTAAATAAGACATTGTTGTTGGTTCACATATTTTTTTAAAAATTGTAAATATAAATGTATTGTTGTAAACGAACAACGTAAAAATATAAATAGTGTTTAATTCTTTTGTAGTTAATTCTGAAGAAAAAAGAGACCGCATCAATCGAGTTTCGTATGTTTGGGTTTTATTAAAATTCTAAAATTAGCTTTTTAAAACAATATAATTTGTCGAGGGAGATTGCAGTAATAGCGGTGTCAAGAGAAAAACCGTCCTTTTGAAATCGTTCTTTGTTTTGCTTTTTGCGAGTGCGTATGTTAAACTTTGTATATATTTATAGCAACTGCATTCGCTGGTTCCCAGACTTCATGAATTCAAGCGCCCTACGAAACTATTAAATGTATCCGTCTCTTCTACTCCTATTGGAGATATGAAGCTATTGCTTCATATCTCGCACCTCTCACCTGTGGAATTCCTTTCCCTATTCCAGTTTCCCTGAGAGCTATAATCTCCAACTATTCAAATGTAATGTCAATCGACATCTCCAGTTGCCTTGATCTATCCACTATCCTTCTCCTCATCCTTTCCTCTATCACTCCTATCTGATCTTGCTCCAAATCTTCTGTAACCCCTTGCGTCCTAGTGGCTTCCCGCCTTGCTTGGGGTGAAACGCTTAAAAAAAATATGGTAACTGCATTAATAGAAATATCTTTTATTCCTGGAAGACATTGAAACTTTGATCCTGATTCTCAACGTTTCCCAAATTATTAATATTCGGCTTCTTTTTTATTTTGTAGATGGTATGAAGTATTGGGAAACAGAAGACATGGGTAAAGTTGCAAGTTATCGCCAATCTGCTTCTACTGGAATCGAACTGGCTTCCTACATTCTTTTAGCTTACACTCACCAAGGCATGATCGAGAAAGGAATCCCGATAATGAAATGGTTGATGTCCCAGCGTAACTCTCTTGGTGGTTTCCACTCAACGCAGGTAATAAGACATTTATTTCGCAACATACAAGACGCATTTTCCGCAAAAGAATGACTGTAACACATCACTCCGTTTTGTTAATAGGATTTTCGTTTCTCTCTTTTCGCATTGGATCTATTTCTAAATTTTACCAGTTGTGAAGTAACTCAAAATTAAATCCAATTTGTGCCAATCTACTCAATTTACATCATCTAAAACGGACAATAATTCAGAACTCAAAAGACCCATGAAAATGTCACGGTTTCTTTATTTTAATTTTCTAATGAATCTTATTGTTAGGCTCAAATATTTAATGATAGAAGAATTTCTTCGTATATTTTACTAAAGCCACCATAATTTTCTTCAATAATTAACTTAAGAATTATCTTAAGTTAATTATTGAATAAAATCATGGTGGCGTTAGTAAAATATACGAATAGATTCTACTATCATTAAATATTTGAGCCTAACAACTTTAACAAACTATTGCAATAACAATCATAAACATGAACGCAGGTCGTTACTTTAAGAAGTTAGGAGATACAAATGAAAAGATTTGAAAATAAGAACTTTTTTTCCATTTCACTGAAACAGCCGTTAAATACTTCTATCTTTCTTTTTCTCACTGAAACCAAGTAGTGTCTTTTCTTCTCTTTCCACCCGATTAAAACGGAATGATCTAATATTTATGAGGTTTCGGCAGGGGATATTAAATACATCTATCTATCTATCTATCTATCTATCTATCTATCTATCTATCTATCTATCTATCTATCTATCTATCTATCTCTGAAACCAATTAGTGTATTTCCCCGCTTTCCATCCGATTGAAAACGGAATAGTCCATTATTTATTATGTATTGGCAGGGCATAACGGTCGTGCGAACGAATGAACTAACTAATGAAGGGATTATTATGAAGATTCTTAAAAAAACAAAACGAAAAATAAAAAGGAGGGTTTTGCTCAACAATCTTTTTTTTATAATTCTACTAAATTATTTTTACGTCCTAGTTCCACTCATTTATTAATATAAATAAGCCTTAAATAGCCAGCTTGTAAGGTGTGTCTGTCAGATGGCATGGTATGTGTCTCAGTTTGTATGGCGTGTCCGCCAGTTTGTATGGTACCTGGATCTGACACGGCATTCAGTTGGGCCGGCTCTGTCATCTAAACGCAAATCCATAATGGTTTCAGTGGATTGGGATCAGCCGCATGTATACACACTTTTAGAATGGAGCGACTCGGATTGGAATCAGAGTTTTCTTCTCCTAGACTGGTTGGCACTCAAGGCTATAGGATCTTGTCTCTCCGGCTATTTTACCAATAGCTGGGAGCAGAGATATAGATTCATACCTTCCCACGTTAGCAAATGTTATGAACTCAGCTGGAATTCGAAATCGTCTCTTCGATTCCTCAATCAGAGCCACTAACCATTACTCCACCGTGCCTCCTAATTTGTACGGTGTGCCCGTCCGTTCTGTCAATAATCGAAAAACAATCAGAATTATATTTTGGTTTACTCTGATAAATTGACAAATGTTGAACTTTTATCCACAACCGGATGTTGCACTTCCGTTCGTGGAAAGGATGAAACGTCTCACCAATATTTATACTATTTATATTCGGGCTATTGTCGTCATCTTTGTTGTTGTTATCAAAACGTTTCGGTCGTTGTGCCTTCCGGCTTTCCTCAGATGTATATCGATCTGCGTAACCTAAAGGGAATTCTGAACACTTTATTTAATCTGCGGGTGTAGATCGTTCTCGTTCTATGTCTGAGATTATTGTCTATTTCTTATTTTTATTTATTATTGTTCAGTTATTGCTCGCTCGTTTCCACTCTGCCCGACAGAGGGATTGAACTCACAACCACTATGTCACCAAATTCACAAACCAACGTTTTTTTTCCCCGGTAAGACAATTTGCTATTGTGAACTTAAAGAGAGCCTGCTGATTAGGTTGCGACTGCTGCTGCTGTCTATCATGCTTTGAATGCTGTTGCTGAGTATGAAGACACGCTGTCGTTTTGTAGCGGCTCCCATATTGTCTTTATTTCTATAAACTTATAATGTATATTGCCGATATAACTAACTCTACAGTTAGTGCATTCAATTTTAAATCGACTATTATAGAAGGACTTCGTAAAGAAGGATAGATTTTTGTTTTAGAAGGCAAAGTACATAATTCAAAATGAATTAAATGTTATCACCTTGAAATCGTTATTAAAAGAAAGCCTTCAGGTTGTGAAATTAGTAAATACTCAACACTTCAAACACCTCGGTGTATGGATCAGTTATAAAAGCTTTCGTAATGAAGATGAGGAAATTGAAGATAAAATAGACTGCATTAGAAGTAGTCTTGCCTAACACCACACGTTACTACAAAACCAAAACATCGGCATAAGAATTCGAGTTATGTTCTTAAATAATCTCGTCAGATTGAGACTTTCACATAGATGTCATGTATGGTTCAAACTTGTTTAGAAATATATACAACTTTATCAGGTCTATGGTTGAGAATGGATTTGAGCGAATTAAGCCTGTTGGTCTTAGCGGGGACCATTCTTTTTCAAACCTTGTAGACTGGCGCTACACAATCACAAAGAAAGAAATTTTATTCATCTTAGTTTTAGTCACTTTTTATCACAATTGTTTGAAACACCATCTGGCATTTTATTTGTCAAGTTTAAAATGATAAAAAACTTTCCATCCAATATTCAAAAGAGCCCGGTAAAAAGAGATGCGCAAATTCTTTTTCTTTTTTCTTTCTTTTTTCTTTCTTTCTTTCTTTCTTTCTTTCTTTGCTCTTACTGCCCTTTCTATTTACTTACTTATTTTTCTTTCTTTCTTTCTTTCTTTCTTTCTTTCTTTCTTTCTTTGCTCTTACTGCCCTTTCTATTTACTTACTTATTTTTTTCTTTCTTTCTTTCTTTCTTTCTTTCTTTCTTTTTTCTTTCTTTGCTCTTACTGCCCTTTCTATTTACTTACTTATTTTTCTTTCTTTCTTTCTTTCTTTCTTTCTTTCTTTCTTTCTTTCTTTCTTTGCTCTTACTGCCCTTTCTATTTACTTACTTATTTTTCTTTCTTTCTTTCTTTCTTTTTCTTTCTTTCTTTCTTTCTTTCTTTGCTCTTACTGCCCTTTCTATTTACTTATTATTACCACCTTTCTTTCTTTATTGCTATTTTTCTTTCTCTTTCTACAATAAGAGTCCGGTAAAAAGAGATCCCCAAATTTTTTCTTTCTTTTTTTTCTTTCTTACTACCATTTTCATTTACTTATTCTTTCTTTCTTTCTTTTCTTTCTTTCTTTCTTTCTTTTTCTTTTTTCACTGCTATCTTTCTTTCTTTTTTCTTTCTTCGCATTTTCTTTGCGTATTTTTTCCTTCTTTTGTTTCTTTCATTATATTTTTATTTTTTTCTTTGTTTGGTCTTTTTTTTTACTACCCTTTTCTTTTACTTGCTAAAGGAAGAAAGAAAAGCGGGAATAATCCAGCTTTTCTTTTCTTCCTTTACTTTTTGTTGATTGCTTTTTCTTTCTTTCTTTTTTTCGATTTGTGTCTTCTGATTTCCTTCTTTTCTTCCTCCTTCAATCATTTTTTCTTTCTTTGTTTTTTTTTACTGCTATTTGCAGTCACTTACTTATTATTCCTACTTTTCTTTCTTTCTTTCCTTCTTTCTTTCTTTCTTTCTTTCTTTCTTTCTTTCTTTCTTTTCCTGGCTTTTCTTTCTATGTTTCCTTCTAATATCACACTTTTATTTTAATTCTCTTTAGGATACTGTCCTTGGACTTGAGGCACTTTCTTCGTTCGCTGCCAAAGTGAAATCACCCAAATCTTTGACCGTGACCGTTACCGCAGACAACACTACATCGCATACCTTCCCTGAGATTGGCCCACTGACTGATACAATTCTCAACAAACACGTGGTAAGATTCCATTTTGCAAAATCAATTATACACAGCTAAAATCAAAATTCACATCATTAGAAAAACAGTTCAGAAGATGCAATATATTGATTTTCCAAGCGTAGCTTAGATGTGACACAAGGCCGAAAGTATGAGGCACCCAGTGAGGAAGATACAATATATATAGTGGAACCGCGGTTCACGAATTTAATTTGTTCCTGAAGCCCGTTCGTAATTCGAAATCTTCGTAAACCGAAAATATTTCTCCAATAGGAATCAATGTAAAATGGATTAATCCGTTCTTGGTCCGAACATGATTGCTCATTTAAACTTTAACAACAGTATTTTGGGCACAAGTTTATACACGAAACTAATGAAAACCATTAAATCTAAGAAAAAAACAAACTAGACAGATAAAATATAGATTAAGTAATTTTATCATACCTGTATGTAAGAGAGTTGATGGCGTAAGTGGAAAGGGAAGGAAAGTGATGTTATTGTTTGGAAAAGGGAAGGAAAGAGGAGATGATCGTCTCTTTATTTATACGAATAGTATAGATCGTTGATTTTGCCATATGAAACTGAGTAGGAAGTGACAATATCATTGTCATAGAGACAATATCATCAACAAGTGTTTTTTCTCTTAACCTTTCCTTTTCCTTTATCAGTATCACTGCTAGCTTTCTTTGGAGCCATGACTGAGGACTAATGAAGAGAACGAAAAAAAAAAGGCACAGTACAATTAAATTGGAAAAAAAAAGTACAGCACAATACACGAATGTATACAACATGGCGGTTGACTAAGAAATGATTCTGTTTGGGTTAACTCGTTTCGTCTCGTTTCGGCAATGTTGTTCGAGAACCGAAATTTTGTTTGATAACCGAAGCATTTTCATCTCGAACATTCTTTAGAAAAACGATTTTTTCGACATGTGAGACGTTCGAGGACCGAGGTTGCGCTATCGCCCTTCGAGGCTGGCATCCCGCTCTCACCCCTTCACTGTCGAAACTCCTAAATGTAGCCGTCTCTTCTACTCCAATTGCTTCATGTTTTGCACCTCTCGCCTGTGGAACTCCCATCCCTATTCCAGTTTCCCTGAGAGCTATAATCTCCAGCTATTCAAGTGTAATGTCAATCGACATCTTCAGTTGCCTTGATCTATCCACTACCCTCCTCCTCATCCTTTCTTATATCATACCTATCTGATCTTGCTCCAAATTTTCTGTAACCCTTTGCGTCCTAGTGGCTTCCCGCCTTGCTTGGGGTGAAATGCTTAATATATATATATATATATATATATATATATATATATATATATATTGAGGAATCTAAATGAAATAATAATAAAAAACGAAAGAATATTAATCTACAAACCCAGTGTGTCTGAAGATTTTAATTTTTTTAATATTTTTTATTGTTCAATATATATATATATATATATATATATATATTAAAGCGTGTCTCAATAAATAATATCGACATTTATTTTTATAATATTTTCTAGTTCTCTAATTATCTTCTTTGAAGTTAAGTTGAAATTCATCAATGAAAGCGCTGTAGTTCTTGTTAACCCAAGGACTTTCCTTCTCTTCCGAGACCATCATCAGAGATGAATTTCAAAGACAATCTCAATGTAACTGTAAACGTTGTGATCGTGATTTTGCAAACGCACTCTGCTATATTTATTTTAAAATTAACCGTTGTGGTTAAGATGTTTTGTAAATAATCAAGGCCGATAACCAGAGACGGTAAAATTGCAAAATGATGTTAAATGTTAGTTCACTCAAATGCATTCTAAAACATTGTTACTACATTCATAATAAATTTTGTTCAGTGTTTGTTGGTTAATTTTGATATAAAGGAACTCAAGAATTTGAAGTTTTTGTTTATTATTTTCAAGGTGTAGTATATTGGTTTTGTCAACACATATTTTCCTGTATTCGCACGTGTTTGCACGATCACTTTTTGTGGAATTTTCTAACTTCCGACCAAGTGACACTTGATCTCGAAAGATTTAACTGTTTCACCCCTCGTTTTGAAGCGCTTACTTTTAGACATTACCTCCAGCGCAGTCATAAGAACGAATCCAGCTAAACTAATTTAGGGCCCAGTTGACTTCGCGTGTGTCTTGAACCGATTTAATCGGGGACCCATTGTTCCCCACCAGAACAATCATTACTTTCACTCTCTTCATTAGTATGTGGGAGTTGCCTTAAATCACTATTACGATTCATTGCCTTCTGAACAAGGGCAAAATATTTTCTCGTGAGATATCTCGTAAGCTGCTTCCAAAAAGTTAAGAAATACACATGTTTCTCTTTTTTGTTTGTTTTTAAATGTAATTAATACGCTTAATAGCCTATATTTTCTGCCAACCAAAGTTTTTGGACTTATTAAGCCATGTTAAAAAAGTAAAAAAACAAAATGGTCAGATCATAGGCATTGTTAAAATATTAAAAGGAATAATGCAAACTAGATCTTTTGTGTGTCTAAGTTTGTCCTTTTGTTGGCTCTTCAACTGACAAGTTTCGTTTTATCTGTACCATCACAACTGGAATGCTCTTCGGAACCACTTTTGTTTTTGTTATGCATTCTCATGAAAATGCGTTTTGATTGACACTTTCAGCTGCCCTCCGATACCAAAAACATTCATATCAACGCTGTCGGCACAACCTTTGAAGATGCTTTGTACACTTATGCCTTGGCTCAGGTAAGACTTTTTAAAATTCTCTTTCTTAAGTGAAATGACTCATCAGGATAAAGGTTTACTGTAGCTTCTTTTTTGATTTAATATCCATAAAAATGTCCCTCACCATGAGTATTCTTGTAATATTCTTTTCGCTAGGTCAGAGTATTTGTTCTTTCACTGAGACTATAGAGTGTTTTCTTTCGCTGCATTTGAAGGCCTCAGTCAGTCAGTTTAAGTGGCATACGTGATATTCACTTGGGCGATCATGTCTCCTGACTGACTAGGCAGGAGATTTTCCCGCAGTATGTTGCCTTTTCTTTCTTCGGTGGACTGATTGCCAATCTGTCCTGTTATTCAACCTATAACGAGGGGGGCGAGAAGAGATGGATTTATATTTTTTCCAAGGATGTTTGTGTGTAATTGAATGTAACGAATCCGACTGGAATTCGAACTCGGCTTTCCGATTTCTCATTTCTCATGCCGTGTACCAAAACACACATCTAGATGAAGGCATAGAGTCTATATATTTAACAAATGAGCGTGATTCCTTTTATTTATTTATTTTTTTATTACAAACGAACATTCCAGTTTGTTGTCAATTTTAATCTGTGGCGTTAATTCTCAGCGAACTCTCAGAAATTGTTTCGGTAAATTTTAACCATCCCTGCACAAGATAATTAACTAAAGAACATCAAATTCTCAGCTCAGAACGAAAACTAAGAGGCACAAGTCCGCATATAAAAAGGGTAATTTCTTTCACTGGGTTTCAATCAAATACAAGGCTCAACCGCCACACACGCTAGATGTTTACACTTAAAATGGTAAGAATGAATGATGTTTGAGAAGATATGAATGAAAAAGAAGGCGATTGGAAGCGGAACTATGAGCAAATGCCTAATGGATAACAATTAAACTTTAAACGCTTAAGATTTTAGTGAACAGGGAAATGTCTACATGTGACTCTCTTCCACAAAGTAGCAGTTTTATTGTAGTGGCTGTATAAGCTGTCTGAATGAAATTTTCTTCTTACATTTAAAATACGGGAGAAACGTGAGTGATTCGACTCTTTGAAAGTAGCATGGTGTGGAATTAGTAGAATAAGCCGTTTTCATAAAAGAAACATTCGACATTCATTGACTGAATAGTTACTGTTGGTTGAAATTTATAAAATATTGTTATAATGCTCGTATAAGCTCGTAGTTCTGGTTAAAAATATTCCAAGGAAAGGACCGGAACAAAAGATTAATGCAGAATCTTTTTAATCACATGTGTGTTTCATTAAGACGGATTATATATATAAGGGCGTTTCATTAAGACGGATCGAAGTCAGCAGTAAATAAATCAGTGTTATTTAAAAAAAAAAATTTATTTATTTATTTCTCTATTGGATCATGTTATTTACGTCATGGCAATTATGTGTGAAAAATAATATCGTCGAAATGTCCACCAAATCTGAAAGAAAAATAAAAAAAAATCATTAGATGCTTAAACCTAATTCACATTTAAAATCGGTCCAAGTTATTGGAACACCCTTTTACAATAAGAGCGAACACTGTAGTTCGTGCGGTAAGGGAACAATTTGCGACTCCGTTCCTATGAGCAAGAAATCCTACTCATAGTGAGTGGATGAGTCTATGGTGACTTTCTAAGCGTAGCTTAGATGTGACACAAGGCCAAATGTATAGAACACCCAGTTATGGTCGACCTCATTATTCAGTCATAAGTGATTCAGCGAGACAAGCCTGCTAATAATTACACCACGTCAAAGTGATCATTTGCTCATCTGAAAGCTTAGATGTGGCACAAGGCCGAATGTATGGGGCACCCAGTGAGGATCGAACACACTATTCAGCTTCCTAACCATGTTACCACATCGAAGTATCCTAGTTGACGAGTCTATGTTCAACAATTTCTGCACAACAAATATTTTTTTATTAAAACAGTTTTTGAGGAAAGACGAATTCTCCAGTCGATTAAATGTGAAATGATACGATATTTAGCTGCCTTCTTAAAGATATAAATAGTTTAATGAAATTGTCAACTCTTAACATCAAATGTCACGTCAAGATACTTCAACACTTCCCCTGAGTGAGGTGCTGCTGTAAGATCGAAATCTCCTAGATTAGGCCTGTTTCGTGTCCTGTTTGAAGCGGAGATAAGGACAGAAGAGAAGAAAATGAGGCTTTACCAGTCTCAGCCTACAATCTCTGAACCTAATCAGTGCGAAGAAGAACTACTACGTTCTGATGCAGGAAAGGAAACGATATTGTTGGAAGAGATTACATAGAATCTTTTATCTTAATCATGTGCCGATCGCGCCGTAAATAAAAACATCTTTCTTTTACAAATACTTTTATATATTAAGAAATGGACAAGGTCCGACAATTTATTTATTAAAGACATATTTTTATGTTTAACGTTGTTATTTTATAGATACAAGTATTTAAGCAAATAAGCAAATCAGGCCGGTAAATGTTATTTAATACTGTTTATCATAAACAGAGCATTTGCTTAAATACTTGTATCTATAAAATAACAACGTTAAACATAAAAATATGTCTTTAATAAATAAATACTTTTATGTTAATACAAATAGACAAGAAAATACCTTCTAAATGTGTGTGGTATATAAAAGGAGGTTATCTGCTCTTGAGAAAATAGCGGAAAAAAAAACATAAAAACGACGGCGACACATGAGATTGCTGTACCACCTCCAGCACAACTGAATCTGGATTCCACAGCCACTAACCATCAAACGGTTTGGGAGGAGTGGATAGAAACAATTGGAATGTATTTTATTGAAATTACTAGCAGCATGGCCCGGCGTTGCCCGTGCTTGATTAAAAAATCGTACGACTCATACAGCAATCGCTATCACTTGACTTAAAATATTTTTGCCCTTCCTTGCCTTTAAAGGAGTGCCCTTTGCCGTACTGATGTTGCTACATACCTTACTTCTTGCCTATCTCACACTGCGAATTTTTTACAAGCTCTACACTAAACATTAAATCTGTTTCGAAAAAAGAACTAAACAAAATGAACACAAAACGATCAGCTTTAAAAAAGGACTCGTAACTGGAAAAGCCGAATGAAAAAAGAATGTAAACAACAAATACTTTTTCACACAGAATCAACGTTGAGTTTAAGCAAGCGAATGAGCCAATTGGAGTAAACTGCCATGCAGATTTAAATTTTTCCCACTTGTGACGAATGTAGTTAACATTCGTGTCAGTCTCTCACGCTGGCCAATAGAATCTTCCTGCCTATTAGTGGCAGCCAGCTAGAGGCTCTCACTCTGGCCAGTAGAAAATGGCCACAAACTACATGAAAACTGCCGTAGAAGCATGAAAAATCGATTATTTCCACTATCGATGGGAGTTGGAAAATGCAAAGTCGGTCTTGGCCTTCTCCGCTAACTTGGAGCATGTGCATGTAAATTTTGGTGCAAATCCGTCGTAATGCGCATTACGAGGCATGTGCGTAAGTCCCGAAGAATCGTTAAATGCCTAAGTTCGTCGAATGACTTCTTTATCAGGATGGGTTAGAATTCAGGAAAATGTACACATCGCTGTAAGATGGAAAGGAGACTTATGAAGAAACCCTGGTTCTTTTGAATGAATATTTCGAAACCGAAAAAAATCTAACGTATGAAAGACACCAATTTCGATCCTCGAATGCAGAAATATGAAGAACTCGCAGTGACTTGTAAATTCTTTGAAAAATCTGGCACGTACTTGCAAATTTAATGAATACTATGCAGATGAGGCAGTAGTAGACCAATTTATTGAAAGATCTTCATCTCAAATTCTTAGACGACAATTATTAAGAGAGAAAATAAAATTAACACTATCACACGTTGTTCAACTAGCAGGCAGTATAATTAATGTCCACCGGCTTTGAAATACAAAGTCTTTTTTATTAATATTCCTTTTTTTATTTTAAACATTGACATGAATATTTACCAGACTCGAGATCATCTTATTAAAGAATCTATCTCTGTCGAGAGGTTAATTTTCTTTAATAAGATTTTCTACATCAAAGCCAGTGGACCTGTATTTCACTTTTTGGAAAAACGTGTATGTCTACTCAAATACCTCTAGCTACTAAATATAATAATTATAGTAATACATATGGTATAGCGTATCAAATTAAGATAAGGTAAGTAAATATTGAGACGAGATTGTAATTGTTTAACTAATGTCTGTTTTCCGTTACAGATCTCCTGGCAATACAACGTTAAACTTGGTTCTGCAGATAGCGTCTTTGTAGCAAATGTTGAGTACAAAGCAAAATCATCAAATGAAATAGAGATTGATATTCGCCCCAGGTATGTAATATCTTTCGATTCATCTCTTTTCTTTCGTATCTATCTATCTATCTATCTATCTATCTATCTATCTATCTATCTATCTATCTATCTATCTTGTCCTTTTCATATATATCCATCTATGTGTTTTATCTTTTCATATCTATTTGATTCTTTTCATATCTATGTTATTTTGATATATCTCTCCTTCTCTCTCTACCTAATATCAGTCTGTTCATATATATCTCATACTTTTTATATCTATCTGTATATCTATGTTATTCTTTTTATATCTCTATATCTTCCTTATTCTTTTCATATCTATTTATATTTGTATATATGTCTATCTTATTCTTTTCATATCTATCTTATTCTTTTTATATCAATCCATCTATCTAATTATTTTCATTCTCTCTGTCTCTCTGTCTCTCTCTCTCTCTCTCTCTCTGTCTATCTATCTATCTATCTATCTATCTATCTATCTATTACAGTCTGTTCATATCTATCTATCTATCTATCTATCTATCTATCTATCTATCTATCTATCTATCTATTACAGTCTGTTCATATCTATCTATCTATCTATCTATCTATCTATCTATCTATCTATCTATCTATTACAGTCTGTTCATATCTATCTATCTATCTATCTATCTATCTATCTATCTATCTATCTATCTATCTATCTATCTATCTATTTATTACAGTCTGTTCATATCTATCTATCTATCTATCTATCTATCTATCTATCTATCTATCTATCTATTACAGTCTGTTCATATCTATCTATCTATCTATTTATTACAGTCTGTTCATATCTATCTATCTATCTATCTATCTATCTATCTATCTATCTATCTATCTATCTATCTATCTTCCTGTGCATATAACCTTTGTCATTATTTCTGTCTGGTTGTTTGTTCTCATAATCCCTTCAACATTTCTCTATGAATTTCAATGGCATTTTATAGGAGAGTCATTTCGCAAGCATCTCGTCTTTTTAAAAAAACAATAAAAGGCAATATATATAAAGAATTAATGGATTTCATTTCATATTTATTCTCTAAAGCGTGAAAACAGAGAATCGTAATGGGTCTACATTTCATTCTTTTTATTATTAATTTTTCAGCTTCATCCTCTAAAGAAAAATCGACACTTTGGTCTAATTATCTGAAAATAGAGTTTTTCCATTATGAATAATTGCATTTATAATTGCAGTATTAAGCATTTTGTTGCAATCGAAATGACGTTATATTGAAATACATATTATGATCGTCATTTGTTATCTTCTTCGTTAACTTCTTCTTCTGACCTTCCTATATTTTATTTTTCTCTCCTCCTCCTTCTCCTCCTCCTCCTCCTCCTCCTCCTCGTTTTCGTCATCATTATCATCATTGTCGTCGTCATCATCTTACTACAAAATATTATCTATTTTTCTATTTTGAAGGCTGAAGGAATTGAATCTTACAGGAATGGTAATCGTTGAAGCTACCTTGCCTTCTGGTTTTGCTTTGACTAACAAACAAGAGCTTCTGAATTTAGAAAATGTTTCCAAAGTTGAACTGGATGACGCCAAAGTCATCCTGTATTTGAAGAGGGTAAGAAAAATCACTACAATTCGAAACAAAACGCATTCACTTTGCCTATTTTAAATGACCAAAAATTCATTATCGACATTTAACCTGATCACCACAAAACTCTGTTTTATCATTATAGCTTCAGTGTCGGCATTGCTCGTAAAAATGCTTAATGAAAATTAGAAATTGTTCAAATTAAAAATTGATAAAATAGAAAGTTATCATGTGTAGGTTTAATATGGTTTTATTTCTATACAAGTCACCGAACTATCTACCTAAAGTAAAATATAAAAAACATAAATGTAACCTATTCAACTGTATATCTAATGATTATAAAAAATAAAACAGAATATCTCATAAAGGCAACATACACATCAAAATATCTTATTTTCTTATATATTTTTATTTTTTAGCTGTTCATCAGTCTTAGCTCTTATACATTGAAAGCTTCAAAAGTTTTCGATATCCAAGGTCATCTGTCTCCTCTGCCCGTAAAGATCCGACTCTATTATGAACCAGGTATGGTATCCTACTGTGACCATATTTCATTGCTATATCCACATCTTGATTTAAGGTTTCATTCTTTGAGCATACAGTGAAAAGACAACTAAATATCAATGGCTTGTGAGTTCCAAACGTTTGTTCTGACGCTACATCATCTTCCTTCTGTTATCGAATTAATTGCTCTTTGCTGTGCTTTATGCTGCGAAACGGTGTTTGCAAACCATTATTTACATTTTTGTAGTTCTTTAATGCATGCTCCATGAATTTATCCGTCTTTCTCCGACATATACCCAATATACTCGTGTTTTCGTTATCAGCACCCGCTCGAATCTGAGCATTGGGATTGTTATCCTCTCTCCCTATTCCCTTTCTCTTCCCCGGTGACGGCGGCGGCGAAGATGGCTCTGAACGAAAGAGAGTTTGGCGAGAGCATTTGATTTTGGTGGACAACCATACGCGACGGCGAAGACCACACATTTGTCCAGAATCGCCTCCCACGCGTTTCAAAGGTGATTAAGACAGGCGAAATTTGACAAACGTGGTTCCATCGAACTGTCGAATGCTTGGTCTGTCAAGGTCCGCCTTGGTTACGCCAACCCAATTGGCGCTGATCTCTTTTGCCGGTTTGGTCGTTGAGATGTTTGCTTATTCCGCCTTTAGGGTCTTCGGGGGTTGGTAGCGTTCAGTTGGTCTTTCTTGTTCCACTTTACTGTCATGTATGGCCCCTACAGGAGTTGGAACTCCAGACACTTGGGGTCACTGTGACAAATAAGCCCTTTACCATGACAAGGAACGACCATATATATTTTACACTGGATGTCACAAAAATCCTTTTCCATGGGTTTTCTTCTTACTATGGCGGTACGTCAAATAGTATTTCTGGACAATTTGTTAATGTTGATGAAAACAGTGATATTAATGATTCTTCTGGAGTGGATGGTAAGATAGTCCGTTACAAAAATATCCATGTCACAAGTGTTGAAAGTCTTCTTCTTCTTCTTCTTCTTCTTCTTCTTCTTCTTTGTGCAGTGTTCACTCAGGACGTTAGCGATAATAAATGTTATCTTTTTGTTATCTGTCCTAAACCTTGATCCGCCATCTATTTGCTCAAGCCAGCTAGGTAGGTTATGCGTTGTTTTCTCTGTTCCTATTGCTTTGAATCGGTCCCGTGGGTATTAAATTTTCCAAACCATCTTTCTTCATTATATGCTCTAGAAACGTCAACTGTCTCTTTCTGATGATCAATATCTATTTTGTTGCCATCTTCTCTAAAACTACTTCGTTGCTCATATTTTCGGTCCATGGTATTCTCAGCATCCTTCTGTAGAACCACGTTTCTGTTGCGTCACTTCTCTTCTTCATTTGTGAGGAGATTGATCAGCATTCATTGCCATATAGGACTACTGATATTACATAACAGTTCAATAGTCTATTCTTTGTTTATAACGATTTCGGTTTCTTAATACCTCGCTTAGCTTTTGGAAGGTATTTTCGCTATCCCAATGTACCTTTGGATTTCAGTATTCCACTTTCCATCCTCTGTTAAAAAGCTTTCCAGATATTAGATTTTTGTACTTGTTTGATTTTGGTATCTGCAATTTGTAATTTGCATTGTTGTATTTGTTTGATTTTTCTGTCCCCAATTAGCAATTTGCATGTTTGAATGTCCCTTTTGCTAACAACGATACATTCGATCTTCTTGCAATTGATGTTCTTTTCTTTTCTCGCTTTCCTTCACTACTTTCTGTAGGAATTACGTTTCATTTATTTTGTTTTCATTGTATATCCTTGTTTCTTTGCAGACCTTGAACTGGTGATAATGTACCAAATTACCGGTGGAAGCGAATGAATTCAATGAAACACAGTGGATCTCAAAATTGGTATATTTCTTCTGAAGGGGAGTGGAAAAGATAAAAGAAAAAAAATGTCCTTTAACAATAAAATGTGATCGTGCAAAAAGAAAATGTGTTTTCGTTGGCTTTTTTTTCCAATCTCAAAAGTCTAAATGTTGCTAATCTTGGTTATAAATGTTAAACGTTCTCCTATGTTGATCAAATGATTCTTTTGAATCTTTAACCCAGTGATTATCAACTGCCACTAGTGTGTCTCATGATCCTCTTAAGTGTGCCGCGAAATATTGTCACGGTATACATATATGTGTGTATGTGAAACGGTAATGGTTAGTATATGAATGAATGAATAACTATTAAACCTTTTATCCCACATTAGCTAGAAAAGGCTTTATCAGTTTTATTGCAATTTTCTACTTCTTATTTATGTGAATTAAGCTTCTCAACCCTAAATAAGATAAAAAAGTAAGAAGCGAGAAATACTACGGTCAACTGAAGAAGAAATAAAGGTCTGCTCATGGCACACTCGACCGAACATTGAAGAAATCGTGAAAAAACACCAGGCACAGGTTTCACACTACATAAGCTAAAAAATAGAAACATTGAAATAAACTTTCATATTTGTGTGTGTATTTTTTATTCATAGTTTTATCTCATAACATTTTTAAATTTATACCCTTTAAAACTTTGCTAAATGTGCCGTGATATTTTCATTTACTCCAAGGTGTGTCGTTGCTTAAAAAAGTTGAGAAAAACTGCTTTAACGCATAAATATAACATATTAGGTTGTCTCAAAAGTTCGTAAACACTTGCAAAAATTTGAAATTTTACTCGCCAAGTAATAACAAAAACAACAAAAATTATTCCTCAAAATAAAGATCATCATTTTCCAAGACTTTCTGCCATCGATCTGCAAGCTTTCGGATCTGGTGAACGTACCATTCTTTCGGATCTGGTGAACGTACCTCAGCTTTGAATCAAAGAATTCTTGACACGCTTCCTCGACTTCATCAAACGAGTCGAATCGACAGCCCTTCAGAAAGTGTTGCATTGAGCGGAAAAGGCCGTAATGTGATGGAGCACAGTCAGGACTGTAGGCTGGATGTGGCAGAACCTCAACACCGTCCAGCTCTTCAAACTTGTCATTGGTCTTCCTGGCGGTGTGTGGCTTGGCATTGTCCTGCTGCATCAAAGCGCGCTTTCGGTTGATCAGAACCGGGTACTTTTGTTTCAACTTTTCGTAGACCCGCTCCAGTTGCTGACAGTAAACTTCGGCACTGATGGCACGACCATTTGGAACCAACTCAAAATGCACGATTCCTTCAAAGTTCCACCAAATGCACAACATGACTTTCTTGCCAAATCGATCTTGTTTTGGAACCGACGGTGTCTCTTGCCCTTTCTGAACCCATCGCTTGTCTCGATTGGGATGGACCAGATAGACCCATTTCTCGTCCGATGTCACAATGCGCTTCCAAAAACGCTCGTCCAATGGATTGCTGAGCAATTGACGGAAAATTTCAACTCGTCTGTTGGCTTGTGCTTCGGTGAGTTCGTGCGGATCTTGGCGCGGTTTTTTGTGAACAAAATCAAGTTGCTTCAAGTGCCGGTGAATTGTCAATTTGCCAACTCCAAGCTCATCAGCCAATTCTCGATAAAGTAAAAAACAATTAAAAATTCAATTTTTCGCAAGTGTTTACGAACTTTTGGGACAACCTAATATTTTAAAGCTTTATATATGCTAACTTCCTGGAGAATGATTTGTTGCATCATTTGTCACTGACAGGGTGGAAAGATTATATTCAATCAATTGCTAGGTTTAATGACAATATTAGAAACGAATCAATAATTAAGAAAAGAATAAAAGTATAAAATGATCATTAAAATACCTAAGAAAATTTTAATTATTATTGTCACTAAAAATAAATATTTGAGAGATAAAGAATAAAGGAAGAAATTAACTACTGAACAATAAAACTAAACAACGTTGAATCGAAACGCTTTTCTTACAAATTTGAAAATATGTCTTCGTCCATAAAAAATGTTACGTTACTACAATCAATAAATAAGAAAAGATAACAGGATAAAATTATTAGCAAATATTGTTAAAAATGTTTGAATAATAAATGAGAGGTGAAGAAATCGACGATACTGAACCAACAGTCAATGATAAACAAAACAAATATTACGAATCGAAATGCAATCACTTCTTGGTCCTTCAGCTAAGATCAAAGTGTAGTATTCGTTCTCAACGGCTTAAACTGATTCTCCCTTTCAACTTTTATCTTTCATTCTTTCTTTCATACATTTTCTCACTGAAACAAGCAGTGTATTTTTCTCTCTTTCCACTCTATCAAAACAGAATGGTCCATGATTTATGAGGTTTTGGCAGGACGTAGCCGTCGTGCAAACTAACGAAGGGAGGGACAAACGGACTAGAACAATTTGTCAATGGTAAACTTATAAATATATAACATAGATTCTAGAGACAAAAATTGTCTAGCACGACACAGTGGACCAACTTTTCTTATCAGCAAACCTAGCTAACTTGAGCAAATAGATTTCAGGTCAAGGTTTAGGAGAGATAAAAAAAACGACAACATTTATTAAGAGCTACAAATGACAGAAAATTATGGAAAGCCTGGTGGTTGTTCGCGATTTCCTCAATGTTTGGTCTAAATGTGCCGTGATATCTTCTTTTGCGCCAAGGTGTGCCGTTGCTTAAAAAGGTTGAGAAAAACTGCTTTAACCCATAAATATAACATATTTTAAAGCTTTATATATGCTAACCTTCTGGAGACTGATTTGTTGCCTCATTTGCTACTGACAGGGTGTAAAGATTCGATTCAATCAATTGCTATGTTTGCTGCTAGGAAAATTTGGTTCATCGCGTCGTGCTAGACAATTTTTGTCTCTAGAATCTGTCTTATATATATATTTATAAGTCTACCATTCATTCAAGCTTTGAATATTGCTCCTGACCTGACATATCGACTTCAGTCTTGTTCCCATCGCCACGATGTAGTTTCCATAGTTGCCTTTTCCATAACTACTTTCATGGTAATTGTTCAGATGTATTTGGTCTAGTTAGGATTTCATAATAACATTGAGGTATTATCGTGGGTGCAGTGGGAATGGTAAGAATGTGTTATTTTGATGTAAGCAATACTATAGTATGTTTGGTTCAATAATATAGTAGATAGCTAAATTTAAGATAAGACAAACTGAAGACCAGGCTTCCCTTTTAGCTTTGTGTCGCATTTTTATGTTTTTTTCAAAATAAATATTACTTTCCTCCGTGGTATTTAGATTTTATGAATTTAAGCGCAGTACTAAATTGGCATCAAAGTCTGATTATTTTACAGTTGAAATGGCAAGATGTAACCGTAAGTTCTATGCTAAAAGTTTCTTTTATCGCACTTCTCACTTGTGGAACTCATTGCTGGCTTTTTACTTCCAAGTTAATTTTGATCTTTAAAATTTTAAATGCAACGCCAATCGTTATCTTCTGTCTTCTTAATTCCTGTTTTATTATTGTTCTCTCTCGTTAATTGTATTTTCACATATTCTGTAACACTCAGTAACCCCTTGCGTCTTAGTGGTTATATTGCCTTACTTGGGAGTGAAATGATAAAAATATTAGATTAGTCCAGGGCAATACTCCTATAACGGGATCAAAAACCCTGCACTAGGATGTTTTAGATTCTGAACCCTGCAGTAACAAAACCTCTCATTACAAACCGAGCTCGGTTTTCGGCCACATCACGTTGAAACGCCGATTCTCGCACGATTACCGAAGTTAAGCAATGCCGAACCTGTTCAATAACTAGAAAAGTGACCGCTTAGGAATACAATGTGCTATAAGCTTGGATGTGTGAGTGGGGTAACGGATAATAGTTGTTAATCGGAGAGCCGAGTTCCAATTCCAGTTGGATTCGTTATATTTACTTACGCACAAATACCATTGGAAGAGGTATGCATCCACATCTTCTCCTCTAGGCTATGGGTTAATTAGTATTACTAAATTTTTAATATTTAAAAAAAATCTTACAATCTAAAAAATATTTTCTGGTTTCAAATAACCTGCAAAGTGTTGATAAACCGTAAAAAATAAATGAATCAATAAATAATAATACGGTACTCTGTAGTCTTGTACCTGCTGTAGCCCAGTATTGTTTAAAATCAACCACCATTAGTTCGTTGAGCAGCTAAAAGGGCAGCGCCACACGTTGTTTACATCTTTTCCGCAATAGCCGACAGCAGCAGAATGTTTATTCAGTCTTGCTTATTTCTTATATATAACTGGATACAGTATAGTAAGTATATATTACTTTTTGCTTTGAGGCTCTTTTAGACTTTATATTGCATGAAACAATTTGGAAGCATTAAAGTCTTATTTCCTATTTTAAGCTTTGTTCTACAGCAATATATATGTGGAACAAGCTGGAAAGACTATGATTAATTAGTTTTTTTTAGGGGTGATTACTATCATATGATCCGGTAGTGAGCCAAGAATGTCGAATTAAAGAGATTGGACTGTATAGAGATTCCAAATTTTTATCCACCTTACACGATGTCTGTCCGAAAAGTATATAGACATTTAATCCTAAAGAAAAAAAATGAAAAAGACTTCCTAGGGCAATGGTGTCTTAGTTTCCTTCAAAGTACTCACTTGCGATCTCAAACAAATAACTAAGCGATTGCTGTCGAAGAAATCACAAAACTAAAATATCAAACTGAAACACGAATCATTTTTCTTCAATATCTTAGACTCTTTTATTGATGACGTTCATGGTGTAAAACTCTTCCAAAGATGTTTCTCAGATCAATAATGAAAAATGGCTTCACGTGAATTAATTCTTTACCTTTTAAATGTCTATTCTCTTAATCTTTCTGAAGGCAGACATCACACAATGTACAAACTTCACGAGGTCTATCCCAAAAAATCCAGTTATTTAATAGTAGGAATATTTTTGTACCAAAGACATCTTAGAGACCA